GCTTGCCCGAACTCCGCTTCGCGTCGTTCGGGTCATCGGCATTCGCGTGCGGAAAATTATCAATTCCTGAACTTGTTAGGAAAATTACTATTTGGACAAAAATGTATTCCTTCATTTCGTTTTGTTTGTTCGTCTCCCATCGTCCATTTCATTGATCGCCCTAATTTGGGAAACACCCTGTATAGGCTGATGCTGAATTTTCGCGTTCCGACGCGCGGATGATAGCCGCGTTGGAACATCCAGCGACTTGGATGTGTCATTTCTCATAATTGCCTCCCAGGATTGTTTCATTAGAGACGTCGTTAAAACTAACGACCCTCCAGTCGAGTCTTTCCTCGTTTCGGTAAGGTTGGGGGTGGGGAAAGGGACTCGCAGCCTCCCTTCTGCGTCAATTATATTCTCCAACGGGCCCAAGACATACTTTTACGATTTTTTCTGCTATATTCTGTGTCCCCGTTACATAGTGGAAAAAATTACACCAGTTCACACCAAATAACACCCTTGGGTGTCCCCCAAGGTCCTGTTTGTTTTAGTGAGATCCTCCAGATACCAATTTTGAATAGAATCGGATCATAATTACGAAACTCGTTAGCCATATTGAATCCGCCATCTCGAATTTTCCAATTTTGACAACAGAATCATAATCTTCGATCACAATATCCCCCAGATACCAATTTTGTATATAAACGGATTATAATTACAAAACTCGTCCAACATAATGGATCCGTCATCTTGAATTTTTCAATTTTGACAAAAGAATCATAATCTTCGACCCCAAGAACCCCCAGATACCAATTTTGTATATAAACGGATTATAATTAAAAAACTCGTCCGCCATATTGGATCCGCCATCTTCAATTTCCCAATTTTAATAAGAGAATCATAATCTCCGACCGCAGATACCAATTTTGAATGAAATCGGACTATAATTACTTCATTTCATACGAATACTTGGTGCAAGACACTGCCGTATCTATGGATATAAAAATCGCTCATACTAGATCCAGATCTGGATAATGGAATGGAACAAATCTATTAAATTATTATGCTATTGTCATCGGTCCTTGAAAAGTGTGCGGAGTTTTAATCTAATTCGACATTCATCTGACTCTCTTATCATAAATGCTGGTGTTCCGTAAGGATCAATTCTAGCACCAACACTATTTCTACTCTATATCAATAATTTGTTGGAAGCAACTTCATGTCCAGTACACAGCTTCGTGGATGATAGTACCCTCCATACCGCCTTCTCTTCCAGGGCTCCAATACCAGCCAGGCAAATCAGAAACGAACGTGGGAAGAATGTTGACAACTTAAATATGGACTTGGCAACAACTCTCGAATGAGGATCCAATCTTGGTAGATTTCAATGCAAACAAAACACAAGCATGCCTTTTCTCTAGGAAAGCCGATCTCACTGTGCCCAATGTAAGCTTTTCAGGAGTAACCATCCCTTTGAAGACATCCATTTCGATGATTGGTATAACTATCAGCAATAACCTTTCTCGCATCCCAAAAACTTGGTTTTCTGTTTCGGGCCAGGAGCTATTTCACTTCCAGTCAGCTGATCATGATCTATAAGGCACAGATCCGACCTGTCCTGTAATACTGTTCCCATATTTGGAGTGCAGTACCCAAACATACCCTGAAACTGTTGGATTCTGTCCAAAAAAGGCAATTCGTCTCGTGGGTGATGCCTCGCTCACAAATTCACTCACTTCTCTGGAACACCGTAGAAAAGTTGGCGATCTGGCTCTATTTTATAGATATTTTCATGAACGATGCTCTTCTGAAATATCAACAATTGTTCCTCCCTTGGGAGTCCCCGCGAGATTAACCCGTCGAGTTGAGGCTTCGCACCCCTTCGTGGTCACTTTTGGAGACCTGCAGAACATCTCTTTCCAAAGACTCGTTCATCCAACGAACAGCGAGGCTCTGGAACATATTGTCAAAAGAGGTGTTCCCCGAGGCATATAACTTCCAGAAATTTAAGAAGAAACTCAATTCCTTCATCATTTCCCTTGGTTCTAACGATGTTCTCTGAACATTATAGGATATCCCTTTTCGTGGGAACCAGAACATAAAAAATATGGGTTGAAATAATCTGTTCCTCTGGAGATAACTATCTATAAGAGTACTTGGTGCAAGACACTGCCGTGAAGTTATTCGAAGGAATAAAAATGTATATTTGGAATTTTGACGACGGAATATTTGCAATTTTGGTGACGGAACATCATTCACCATTGAATTCGAGAAAAGAAACGCTCATCCTAGAGATCCTGACCAGCTATTTTAAAAATGATTTTTTCTTTAAAATTGCAGTTCTCAACCTCATGAATGAAATAACTCATCAAATACTATAAGGTGGCACCAACACATTTTTTTTCAATTCCATCAACTTAATTTTTTTCGTGAAGGATCTATTTTCTTATCAATTACCAGAAAGAATTTTTATCAATTTCAAAGAAACTTATTGAACGCCAGACGACAATGCTGCGATATCTGATGGCCTTCTGTACAGCTGCCTTAGATTTATACGAAAGATACTTTATTTTTCGAAAACTGGCGAAGATAACCTCAATGTAGTATAATATATATTTGAGATCAGAAGAAAGAGCTCTACCAATTAAGGAAATAAATTACAGGGTGTTTCATTTAAAAAATACCAGTTTACGTAAAATTTTTCTCATTTTTCAGTATTGAATCCTGAATGCCCATAAAAAATATTTCATATTCGCCCATTTAAACTTTTTTGTAAGACCAGTTTAAACTGAGATTACTATATCGAGTTAAATATGAACAATCATTCATCCTGTACTTTATTTACAAAAATATGACAAGGAATGTCCTACTCAATTTTTTCACACTTATTTATACAGACTCTGTATATCCGAATCAGAAATATCCTGCATGGAAAATAAATGTATGCCGAATCCAAATTATCAATTTTATTTGTATAAGTAGATAAATTATACATATAGTTGTCTGAATGACAATAATGAAATTAAGTCGCCATCCGAATGTATGATATTATAATTATCTATCCGGAAATAAGTGGCCAGTCTACCATATCAACATAAGTTGATACAGAGTGTCCCATTATTGAGGTGCAATACTTTGAATATGGAAACCTTCGAACAAAACTTTGAAAAAATAAGTTTGAATGAACATGGACCGGAATGGAATGGTGACGAAAAGGGGAGAAACTCGAAGTCATTACGCACATAGATCATAAAATGAACGAAAATGGTAGATAGTATTTTCCTGGCAATATGCCACGCAGAACATTGAATTACATCCTCCTGAAATCTATGCAACAATTCGTATAGGCCAATACAGTTGCAAGTGCTTCTTTTCTAAATGGTGAGTTGGGCATAAATTGTTCAGGGACGCTTGACTACCTACACACTGGTTTCGAGCTTTGGCTCTCATCAGTACAGGGGTTTCCTCAGATGGCATTCATGACCGCCAACAGGTGCCAACCTGACCCATCGTAAACACATCTCACCATTTAATGCCCACGAGGCGTTCGACCACTTCGAAACACTGCAGATCCCTGAAGATGTTTTTTATTATAATTTCAGAACAAATTAGAAATGAAATAATGGAATTTCGTTCAGAAATGTGAACAAAATTTGCCATTTTTTTTCTGGCAATTTTTTTTTCTGGAGTGTTATTTCGGCTATGATGATTGCCTCTATACAGGGTGTTTCCTAACTACGGTTCCTAACTGCAGGTAGTGATTTGTTAGGTCATTTCAAGAAGAAAAGTTCCTATTAACATATGTCCGGAGTTGCTTCATTTCTGAGATACAGGGCGTTGAAGTAAAAAAAAACGGTAGTTATAAAATATCGTGAATATCCTGGAACCGATTTGGTTGAAATTTGGTACTTTTATTTGACCTAATAAGGCGCTTATTAAGCCCTATTTAGATTGAAATTATTGGGGCCAGTGGCGTCTCAGTGGGCACCACAGCTACAATATTGTGAAAAAAGTACGCCACTGACTTTTTTTAGTGAATTTTTATTCCTTCTTCAGATTGAGCAACTCAAAATACAACTATTTGGTCTCTTGTATTTTCTTCATATCCATCTTCGTTTTCTAGAAAAAAAATTAAAGCCACTGTATTGCATATCATGAACATTGAACACCTGCATTGGAGAAATGAGTTTTTCATTATTTCCGCCTAGAATATAATTGACATACATGATATGCTGAAATTTGACAAATAAAAGTACCAAATTTCAACCAAATCGGTCCCAAGGTATTCATGATATTTTATAATTACCGTTTTATTTTACTTTAATTTCAACGCCCTGTATCTCAGAAACGAAGCAACTCCGGACATATGTTCATAGGAGCTTTTCTTCTCAAAATGACCTAAAAAATCACCCCCTGCAGTTAGGAATCGTAGTTAGGAACCCTAGTTAGGAAACACTCTGTATATACTTAAAGTTATTGAGATTGGAGATATTATTAGACTAACAAAACACTTGAACAAGCAGTAGGGGGTATACGAGAACAGAAAAGACGAAATTGTATTCAATGCTAATGAGCATTGATGTATTCTAAATCGTGGTGTTCTTAATAGCCAAAAATTTCAATTGTATTTTGAAAACATGAAAAGTGGAAAAACATATATCGAATAATTTTAGGCCTGTATAAGTGAAGTTTTTTGCCTGCCTTTTTTGCAAAATCATTTTTGTAATAATTCTTTCTTAGTTCTACTAGTAGTGCACGCTTATTATGGGACACCCTGTATAGGTACAAATATCACGATCACTGAACGTACCTATTTTCGAATATTCGCTTATACTGACATCATTTAATATTCCTGATTTCCTACAATTCCTCCTTCCACTGGTCTGTTTACAGAAAACTGGTAATTACCGACCATAACCTGGCTGATAGGACTGAAACGTTTCCTGCAAAGATTACAATTCAAAATATAAATCGCGAAAAAGATTGGGTTTTTCCAGTGGCGAGATACAATCAACAAGATGTGGTTCTCTGCTTTTGTACTTATTTTCGTTGGCATGTGCTTGTGTCTAAGTGGTGAGTCACTTTTGATTTATTCAAATTAAAATTAGTGTCATTGGCATACGTGTACATTTCAATGCTGCAAGCTGTTGTCGTTGTACCTATTCCCAGAAAACTACTTTATTTTGGACAAAGAGTCGGGCCGGGATTGGCCGTATTTATCAATAGGTTGACTAGGTACTGGCCTGAAGCAGCAAATTTTTAGGGGGCGGCAAATTTTCAGAGGCGGGTTTTCAAGAAAGAAAGAAACAGAAAACTGCCTACATCAAACTATCAATAATAAGACAATGTTACGTAAGTCATACTTTTTCTATCAAAATAAAATTAGCAAAAATAAGCGGGGAGCGGTTGTTTTTCACTATACGCTGGATAAAAAACCTATTTGAGGTAAGTTGACAGTTGTGTCATCTTGTTCGAATTATTGCCTCTTCATAATGCATTTTTTATTTTTATTATTCATTAATTGATAATACATATAAATAATGAAGCATGTATGTGGTAAAAATAAACCTTCATGTTTGCGCCACGAGAGCAGAGTTGTCAGCAATAGCGATTCTAACCATAAAAGCATGCATCAGTTATAACGGAGAATGTAGGTTTTTTCTGTGACTGTCAAAATGTTTGAAATTTCATCTCTGTTGACAGGTTATAAAATGTCACTTTTTATAAATGACTTTCCTCCCACGGGAAAAAAGTGAGTACCTACCTTTTTCCCGGATATATATCACATCACATATATACACTTTTGATGGCTTTTGTTGTGCTATGGTTCCGAAAAATAAGCCAATAACACCGTATCCGAGAAAGAACTGCAAGTCCTTTTATCTTCCATTCGACTTCGCAGTTACGGGAATTACTAAACAACCCTAAACTCGCAATTTTTGAAAGTCAAATCTAAGAATTAAACTTGACAGATATTTGATTACTTCAAAAGGATGATAAAGATGCATACAAAAAGATGCCTGCAAGGCAGGTGTCAGTCCTGTTACAAATTTCACGTCGATAATTTTCTGATTTCAATATAATGTAATGTCTTCTCAATATATGATTAGTCCTTTTCTCTGTCACAGAAAAACTTAGTGTATTATAAATACTCGGGTAAAATATTGGAATTTAGCTCACAACCTGGAGCTAGGATCTACTACTTTTTTCCTTGTATAATAAATAATTATTTGACAAGATGGTAGAAAAAAGCCTCTGACATAAATATTTTGACATGAATATTTTATTTTCTAACTATATAGGTGGTTTCATGAAACATTCATTATCATTACATTATCACTACATTATAAATTAAAAAAGATAAAGCATAAAACAACATCATGTCGTGTTCATGAATACATTTATATTACACTAAGAAGCCACTAACAAGTTGGGCTCGTTTTATCTATTATGATTATAATGTAATGATAATGTAATTATAAGGAATGTTTTATGAAACCAACTTAGAAAATGTTCAAAACTGAGTTTGAGGGGAGTGGTGGGCCGTTAGGGGGTTGAATTTGAAAGTGCCTAGTACGCTGGAATATGTTATTCCGGGCCTCCAGATGGTCTGATTGAGAAATTATTTAACAAGAAATGTCGAACTATCTACTTGGAGTCTTTGAACAGCTGTTCTGATTTCTAGTAGAATTTACAAAAAAATCTGATTAATTCAATGGAGCTTGCATTAAAAATGATTATTGAATAACCCTGTATATTCTCAAGTTGACTTTTCGACTAATATTCCAGTGTTTATCACTGTATCCGCAATGGAAACTGACTAAATTTCACAAACTTTTTCACTAGGTGAATATTTTGAAAAATGTCCATTTTCTCGAAAAGGGTTCATTTTACGGCATTCTTACATAAATATACCTTTTTTGTGAAAAATGTTCGAAGAATCATAGTATGTTAGCAGAAATGAGATACATCTTGAAACAAAAAAACTACATTAAAGGACCTGCCTTCAAAGGGCTCTGGTGCAAAATTACCTCCCGCGGAGTATACGAACGTTTTTGTGGGACACCCAGTACGTATAACATAATTAGTGATTATGTGAGGAAGTCGTCGGCCTGGAAAAATTCTAATTTTCAAATTTAAAGCCTTCGAACTTGAACCTCAAAAAATTTTCGCCTGCGCCGAATTTTTTACCGTGAGTAAGTTGTTTCTATGTTCCTTATCCCCCCCCTTGGTATCCACTGAAATAACGTCCCTGGGCTATAGCCCCCTCAAAATTGCAGATATTTCAATTTTTTGTTGACAATGTTGCCTATTCTCAGATTCCATCTGAAATTTTCGAAATATTTAATTTTTCATGTGGAAAAATATTGCCTCAAAAATGGAATTTGCAGATGTGGGTCACGTTTTTATTTTTTTTTTTCCAGGCGCATCTATATGCCAACCATACTCAACATTCTATGTAGACTGCAACAGCTGCATGTGTAGCGGCAACGGAAGAGAATATTCTTGCACGAACGAAATTTGTCCTCCAAAGGTAAGAATAAAGAATAAACACAATACCTTTTCAACTTCAAATTGAGACTTATCATTTTCAAAATGGAAATAATCATCTTCAAATTGGAACAGACTGATTCAAGATGGATTTAACACATACAAATTGAAAATAAACAGATTCAATGCCCCAAAATGTCACTGATGCGTTTGAAGAATGTTCCTATCAAAGAGCATAAAAGAAAAATTCACTAGCTTGTCAGTGACAAATTGGACGTTTCGGGAACGGATCTGCTCCCGTTTTCAACATGGCAAATTTTTATTAATCATTCCAGAATAACGTCATTTGACAGATTGCTGGGGGGCAAACATTGTATTTTGTCAAGATTTGTCATATGAAACCAAAATTAGTGGGATCGTTTTCCTTGAAATCCGAGTTGGAACCCGAAAGAATTTCATAATTTTGTTGAAACTGTTATTATATTGTATGGATGTGGCAGTGATGGCCAGGGCTATGCTCATCAAATGCAACCTAACAGATAGTTTGTGTGCCCCTCAAAAAACCATGTCAAAATCACGTGTTCTAGAATGGTCAATATGTATTGTATATGTATATTCATTAAGAATGGGAAAACTCTGAACTGCAGATAGTAAACACCCAAATATGAAGATTTAGCCCAACATGCCTTATCAAAATATTGCTGGTTTAAGAGATACAGGGTGGTTAAGGAGAAGATATTTTGAAATAAAATCTGCTCATATATCGCTATTATTTATATATTTATGGAATTCTGTACAATGATGTGATGTTCTTGGTCTAGAGTAATTTTAATCCTCCTTTCTCCTTTCCCTAAAGCACAATGAATTATTGCTAATAATCAATTTCGATTTTGGCAATTTGAATTTTATTCTTATTTTGATTATGTTAATCAACTCGAATATGTTAATTCCAAATTTGAAATTGTTTATTCTGAATTGGAAAATGATTATTTCCAATTTGTTGTGTCTAATCCCATTTTGAATTTGTTGTTGATGTCCCAATATGGATTTGAAAAGGTATAGTAGTATAGTTATCGCCAAGTAAATTCGACAAGAGACATTTCCATATTTTTTATTCAACTAGGGCTATATTCCGAAATCAACTGACAATACTGAATCTGCTGATTTCTCATTCCGAAATCAAAAAATTTACTGAAAGTGACAGATGCTTGTGAGCAGACATACTATTCATTCCAAATATTTCGACTCAACATTCTGCTGAAATTGCTGAGTATCAGAAGGCTTCAGTGAACTGTCATTATTCTAATGGGGGAACGAATGTAACATTCATTTCCGTTGTTAATAATATTATTCTCAATATTAGAAAATAGCTGTTATTGAAATAATAAGCGCTGAGAATAACATTGAGTATGGAGTAGTAGAGGTAACAAAAGAAGAAGCAGCATTGGCTAAATAAATAACTAAATAAACCTGAAATGTCTTCCAAATTCATCATCATTACGTTTTCAATAAATCTTTCAATTATTCTCAATCTGGTGCATCATGAGAAGTTAATGGCAACGAAATGTCCAAGTATTCTTTATCACTCGAGCCTGAATCGTCATCGTCAATAATCATAGAAACTATGGAGGCTATACAAGAATCGATTGCTCCTCCATGTTAAATATTAAATATCTGGTCCAGATGAACGGGAAACTACAGACTGACAAATTTCACCAGCTTTTCAACTACTGCTGACTATACTGATGAAAAGCATGAAAACGTGTCCCGAATTACAGCACTATATTTTTGATTTTATATTTCGGAACACAGATTTTCAGCAGATTCAGTGGATCTCCTGACAGTACTGACCAGTTGAATTCGGAATATAGCCTGTACCTACTTACCAACCTTGTGTTTTTTTTCAGGTTGATTATGATGAAAACTATGACGTGAAGCTAACAAAAGAAGGCTACAAACTTTTGGTGCCTAAAAATGACGCCAGACGTACATTGGACGATTACAGTGACTCTGTTCTTACAAAGAAAAGATTTCCAAGAGTTCCTTTCGGTTATCCCTATATCAATGATGAAATTCCACCTTCGAACAAAGAAAGTGACAATAAATTCGAAGACATCGATGACATAAACGAGGAAACTGAAAAAATCACCAATGGCGAAGATGATAATGAAGTTGTGAAGCGGGAGGATCCATTAATACGTAAGCAGAAACAACATCCCAGTATGAAATAGTCATTCTCAATACTTCATTTTTTTTCAGGACGAAAGCAGGAAGACATCAGAAAATGAAGTAGAGGTGTTGTTATTCTACCTACTCACTTGATATTCATGTAGTTTTGACAAACATACAGGGTGATGATCCGTGCATTTTTGTGCATATCATCTGAATATATACCTATAGTTACGTACATATAAGTAATAAGATCTTGAATTGATTATCTACAGCGTGACTCACTTTAAGCGCCCTCCTCCCCACCTACAGCGTGTTCCGGTGATCATGTTACAAACTTCTAGGGTAGATAAAACACACGGAAATAAGAAAAAAAGTTCATGTGAACATGGGTCCGGAAACGCTTCTTCAGGGAGCTAGGGCCCTTCGAAGATGACCTTCAAAAACTATACTCTTCGTTTTATAGCTTCGGTACTACTGCAGCTATCGCAACCAATTTTGGAACATGAAATCTAGTTCGTAGGTTCATCAATTTGAGCCTTCCGGATTTTGTCACCTTTAACCAGGGGCGTACAAACCAGGGGGGTATTTCAACGTAATAATTGGTTTAAGACCAATAATTTATTATTGATTGGATTTAGCCATTTTCGGAGGAAACGGTGACAGATAGCGATTTTTACAAAAGTACCTTTTTTATGTAAAAGGCATTGGAGAATCATAATCAGATATAAAAATGGTAAGAAATTAAAGCCTAAGAGGAGTAGGGTCAAATTTACCCAAATACCCCCTGGTACGCCCCTGGTTACAGGTGACAAAATCCGGAAGGCTCAAATTGATGAACCTACGAACTAGATTTCATGTCCCAAAATTGGTTGCGATAGCTGCAGTAGTACCGAAGCTATAAAACGAAAAGTAGTTTTTGAAGGTCATCTTCGAAGGGCCCTAGCTCCCTGAAGAAGCGTTTCCGGACCCATGTCCACATGAACTTTTTTTCTTATTCTCGTGTGTTTTATCTACCCTAGAAGTTTGTAACATATTCACCGGAACACCCATCTATTAATCGTACGATTCTTACCAATTTTGGACCGGTATGAATAACCATCAATATGATCAGTTTTTCAGAGACGAGCATCCTCTTAGGCAGTGACATGCTTTTTTATTGAAATAAAAAGGGGTCGATTTTTGTGAACTCATATTAGGATTTTTTGCGAAAAACAAACGTCATATTATTGTTCCTCAAGCTTTCGAACCTTCATACGCAAAAAATCAGCTCATTCTGAATCAACAGGATTGGCTTCATTTTTTTATTTTCGACCTCGAAAAAATAGTGGTTTCAAATTAACTGCCAAAATTTTCACTTTCGCGAAAATGCTGTTTGTGCTTGTTGTTCTAAAATCCTTTATAGGAATCATATGAAAATGTACTCATTGGGGTTTGAAACCATGATGAACAATATTATGAGGTCAGTTTTCCTGTAAAAAATTCCTAATGAGATCACTGAAAAATGTACCCCTTTTTCATTTTAATGAAAACGCACGGCACTTATTCCAATGCCACCCTGTATAGAGGGGGAAGGCCTTTGAAATGAGACACGCTGTATACACCATTGTAATAATTAAGACGTGCCTACTTATATATATATATATATTATGACATTAAATATTTCGACGTACATTTGAGGTACAAAACAAAAGATTAAATATGGCTTTTGATTTTTATCGGACAGTAGTTTATTCTGATTCTGCCATACTTTTTCTGACTATAACGTGTCGAAATAGTGACTTTTTGATTGTTCTTCAAGTTTTATATTTGACAGACTTATACGCGCACTTGTGATAAAATGAGGTGATATTCAAACACACTATATAGTGCGTAAAAAGTAATTCTAAGCACTTGCTGCGTAAAAGTCAGGAAGTAAAATCTGATAATATTTTTGCATGTTTTTGTATGGAGTTTTTTTTGCTAATAAACCATTTATATGGTAAGCTTTGTAATTCTTTGCCAATGATGGCTAACATTTTCACTTTCACCAGTTGGCGCTACTAAAATGTCAAAATCAAAAAAATCCCAAAATTTTGCGGGATAGCCCTAAGAGCTATGGCTTGTTTTATCGAAAATATTCGAAAATGTTAGCCCCCATTGAAGTATTCCCAAACACATATAACTTCCAGAAATTCGAAAAAAAAATTCAATACCCACCGATATGTTCTATGAACATTATAGGAATTTCCTTTCGTGCGCTCCAAGAGATGAAAAAACTGTATATAGAATCTGAGTTTCATCCAAGTTTTCTCTGGAATAGACGATAAAATGAAGGTTGTGATATCGAATGAAATAATCATCAATTATTCGAAATTATTTGAGCTGTGAATGTTATAATAATAAATCAAACAAATAATTATAAATATGGGACATAGAAAACTTTCCATAATTTTTAATTTTTGTTAAATCTTAATTTTCCATGAATGCCACAGTCTTTAATTATTCTTTTTTGTTTTGTTTTCGAGATAAAGCTCTAGAAAATCATTCATATTGTAATAATCAGTTCTACCAACCTTGAGTTTTTGCTAGCGCCACCTACATGCGAAGGGGTGGATCAAGAAAATGTTCTGCAATGCGCAGGTATCTGCAATGTAAGCTAGATCATTCTGACAGATTAGTGAAACTAAAGACTACTGCTACAGCTGTGGCTACAGCTATCTGTCCATGATAGAAATCTGTCAATACCATATCACAGTAGCAAATATCAGTCAATGGGTGACTGCTAGAGTTGGAAATTATCATTTTCTAATTTTTCTTCCTATATCGTATGACTCTTTATACAATGAATATAAATGCATAATATCGACAATATAAAAATAGTTCTTCATGAACTTGAAGTCATGAACAATTCATGACGTGATTCTTTTTATTCTAATTCAATAAATAATGATCATATCAAGCAACGAGGTTCAACATAATCAACATATAGATATTACGACATGTAGGCTGATTACGACACGATCCATATATCTATTTTCGAGCTCCTGATTTTGTTGTAGGTATAGGTAGATGGATGCGTAACTGTGCCAAAACATTTTTATTACCGTTACCGCCGAACATTATTATGTTATGTAGATATTACTTATTATCTCACTTAGGTATATTACATAACATCTTTGAATCTGAGATAAAGGATCTAAGATAACAATGATCATAGGTTCTCATGCATTTTCATTTGAACCACCCACCCGCCAATCCCGCCATAATTATATCAAATTCACAAGTAGGTACGAATAGTACTGGTAATTGAGATGTTTATAATTCCTATTACTACTCAATTTTTATTCCTAACGAGTAGAAACTCTATATTAATTCAAGAAGATATAAGAGGGCTTTGAGATAATGATAAATTTATATTATTTATCGAATAGTTTCAAGACTCCATTGAATTGAATTCGAATTAGAGGGGTGCAGATTGCAGCTGCAGCTTGCAGCGCTCCTAGCGGAAAACAATAACTTCACAGAAAATGGCGATTTCGTTCCAGTCGTGTTCATTAGATCTTCAACTGCTGTGCAGAGTGTTCCCAGATGAGACACCCTAGTGCTATCAAAAAGTGAACATTTAAGAGAAGGTATTCCACATTCGTTGAAATGAGTGAAATGTACCCAGATTTGGTCGATTTACAAGAAGATTTGAAGATGGGCGAGGACAATGGATCCGATCCGCAAGATGACGTCGTTAAACAGGATGCGTGCGCACCAGGCATGGCCGATTCGTGCACGAACATGATCGAAGGAGAACTTCCGGTGAAGAAGAGGAAGACGAGGCGCGGGAAATCCAAACGCAGGCATCCCTACTTGAAGAACCCGAGAAAGTCCAACAAACTCGTGAAACCAGAAGCGCCGCATAACGATAACCAATTTTTGCTGGAAGATCATGGCTTCAACGAGGAACTGGACAAAAATCTCAACAGAAACCGCGATTCCAGCTTCAGCGTTGATTCCCAAGGCGATTTTTACTCGTCTCCAGATGACGAGGAGCTGTTTCGGATCAAGGACTTCGACGACCAATACGAGAGTCTCCAAGCGGAGCGCTTGCAGGGGCTATCGAAGACCGAGCTCATCGAGGAGTACCTCATGCTGGAGAACAAGCTGGAACAGTTGACGAAGCGGCTCCAGAAGCAGGAAGATGACGACTTGGAAGATCCAGAACTGAAGCAGGAGCTTGAGAGACTCACCATCGAGAATGAGCGTCTGAGAAGAGAGAATGAAACATTGCGTGCCAAGTGTACTTCTGATTCAGAGGACTCTGAGACTGATTCCAGTGACTCTTGCAGTGGCACCTCAAATACCAATAGTAGCAGCAGTTCCGGCTCTAGTCGGTCCAGAAGTCCCTTGCCTCACAAAAGGGATGAACTTGGTAAAGTGGACACACAAGTTTTGTAAAAATAATGGACTGTTTCATAAGTTATTTTTATATTTTTTGCACCCCCTATGTAAATAAGTGATATGTAATTTTTCTAATATTTCTGCAGAATTCACTGACCTAAACAGCTTTTCACTCATCTTTCCAATAAATGTTTCTGTAAAATCTTAGAAGGTATGTGCATAGTAAGTTTTATCTCAACACATGTTATATAGAGATGCCAAAAAATGATAGAACAAGCATAATTTGAATAATTTACTTCTTAAATCTGAATTGAATTTCTCATTTGGAAACATGTATAATTTTTGAACAACAAATAATTAATTAGCAGCTTGTGAAATTGGACCCTAGAATTTTATCATATTGATAATATCCATGATGATATATTATATTTTATGTCATACATTTTGTTAGATCTATAGCTTGGTGTAAAGATTCTCAGTCTATAATCATTCAGAATAGAACATTTCAAATACTGGTGGAATCACTGATAGACTTGAGTTTGACAAACTTATGAATAATTTAGCATCTTTTTTTACCATTGTGTAGATATGTAGAATAAAATATATAAATGTAAGATTAATTCAATAAAATTGTATTAAAGTACCTCATTCATTTGTGTAAACAATAAAAATAAAATCAGAATTCCAAAACATTTTGATACTTATTAAGATAATTGCAAATTCACTATTTCTCTGTTATACACAATGGTTATACATATTACACAATAAAGTATCAAATAATTGCTTATACAAGGTGTTCCTGAATTCAAAGTTCCCATCATTGCCAGATAATGTGAAAGTCCTTGGTTTTCAAGATACCAGAGGGTGTATTAAATATCCTTTTTTTATCTCCTGATCTTCCATGATTTTTTAGAGAATTTTTTCAATAGGTCATCAAATCTGGTATTGTTGAATTCCTATGATTCCAAGTTCAATATCTAATGAACCATTTGAAAAACTGATGGCCACACCTGAAAGCTTTTATTCCAAGAATAACCATATTTCTATTTATGGCATATATAAGAGCATTAAAAATGCACTTTTATTTTCTATTAATGGAGCATTTATATATTATAATAGCATAGAGCAGAAGGCACAGATTACAGTGTATAAATTTAGAAAAATATATATTTAATCTTGAAAAATACATTGTAAAAGTACAAAATAACAATGATTTCAAATATCAAAAAATTACATCACCTTAGCTATCCTAATATTTTTTCAGGCAAAATATTTATCATGCATAGAATGGAGTACCTAAGTCATTTTGTAATTTATGATTTCTCTCAATTTTTTAGAAAAAATAAAGATTTTATTGATTCCTACCTCTATAATAAAATAATGATAATGCATTCTTTTTTTTTTAATTTTCCAAGTAATTGAATTTCATTGATTCACATTTTTTTGTTAACATGCTAGTAATTATATGTGAGTACCTACATACTTCAGAAAGGTTGATGTACAAATACTCCAAATATAAAAAAATATCATCATAATAATATTATAATAACAATATCTGGAATTTTTATTCAGGACTATTCTTTTAGCATTAACTTTTCTGCTACTAATTATTTTTGTAATTCCACCATGTGAATCAAAAGTTGTTAGAGAAATACTCAGTTCTAGAATGAAATCAATTTGCAAGTAGAATAATCAAAGCCCAAAAAATAATTCATAATAAAAGAGTGAAAGCTAGAAGAGTAGGTATACTAGAAAAGCTGATCCTGTTTCTTCTTTCTGAAGAAAAATACATTTTGGTATTTATGCACAACTCAATTATTTTATCTCAAAGATAACAGAAATAATAAAAAAACCAATTCAGTGAAGCGTCATTAAGAAAATGTAGTTCCCTTTTATGAACACAAACTGTGTTGAACAAACTGTGCCTTTATCTTCATCTTCTTAGGGTCTAATAAATAAGCTCTCATCTTGAAAAAAATTCTTCTTGTTAAGTTAACTTTGAATACAGATACATACAAGGTGTCCCAGAACAACGTACCATTAATTATTATATGGTCAACTAGAGACAACATATTATGATTATTGTGGTCAACAACTCAACACATCAAATGACTTGCAAAACATGATAAAATCGTCATAATCATAGACAATATAAGTATGGAGGAGTACCTAAATGAATATTGTTAAGATATCTCGCAAACCAAGAAAAATTATACTATATAAAAAAGATAATTGATTTTGTATTTCATCAAAACATCAAAATGTGGTCAGTGCCGTCTGCCATACTCCAATAAAAGTTACATTTATTTTTATCAACGAGAATGTGAAATTCCTACCTCCCTGTATATTGATTAAATTGGTACATGTTTTTCATGCACATTCACTATGGTGAATTGAAAGGAAATCTAGAAAGAAAATTGTATTTCATCGCCCTCTCACGGCCCAACAGTGCATTTTCGTATAATGGTAAGTTGATTTAAATGTAGAATTTATGGTACGTTGGGGACACCTTGTATAATGAATATAATACAGGCTGAATTACCTCCAATTCCACCCTCCATATGTTATGTCAAATATAATTTATTTTGTCTTCTTTTCGACAATTCAAAACGTAATTGACTGTAATATTCGAAGAAATGTTAATGATATTTTTATTTGTTATTATAATAACTATGAAAACTCATTTGAGGAAGTCCTCTTTTCTGCGAATTTTATGGATTCATCAGAATCCAACCATGATGTAGGAGAATACAGTCGTCTAACTCTATGATTCTCTTCCAATGAAGTTACCAACAAGTCTGACCTGCCCAATGCTTCACCTGAAAACATAAATTAAGAAAATTAAAGATTAAGAACCACACCTTTTTCAATTGTAAGTCAGAAAGTATAAGAAGTAATTCAGAAAGTATAACTTGAAATTCAGATTTGTTAATTGAAATGGAATTCAGAAAGTGTAACTTGTAATTATTGCATGTCATCATTTAATTGGATCAAAATCAGCAACAGGTGTACAGGGTGCGCCTCTTCAAAATGGACCCCCCCCCTTAACTTTTTTTTTTTCAGAGATATTAAAAAATGTGAATAAAGAAGTATTTTGAAACGACCCAAACTTTCATGTTACAAAAATGGACAGGTAGTGTTCCTCAAAGTAACTCTGACAGACAGCAAGTTATTATTATGTTTGAGAATAAAAGCTTGGGCTATTAACTTTTCAATCTATCATCATCAGACATTATACAGAGTGTCCAATAAATATAATGACTCAGAATCGAATTTTTTGTCGTATACTTAAAGTGGTAGGTATCTGAAACTTCTCAGAGTAGTGAAACCAGGCAAATATACTAGTCCTCTTCCGGTTCATCATTAATCACTGGCCAGAAAAATATCTCCTCGTAGAAATCTACAATTTCTTCATCTTTTTTCAGGTAAGGTCGGAATTTCCTTATGTTAACCATGTTCTTTTTTTAATCGGAATTTTTATTTCCGGATAGGCAGATATGGGTGCTATTTTGGTTAGTCGTGTTGTTCTTGATAGAAAAGAAAAAAAATTGGAAACTAATGTACCCTGTTCTCTGCTATGTGTGAAATGCATAAAATGTACTTTATATTCCTGCCTTTTTCATTAGGATTTATGGCGAAGCATTTTTTTTAAGTACTTTGTCCACCATGATTTGAAATCTTTCATGATATTGTTGTTCGCCATTGAGTGAACCGAAAATATTTTTTGCTGACTGGATTCTATGAGGAGTTCGACATAAATTTTGTGGTATGTTTAAAAAGTATTTTATTTTAGCAACCCAATAGATGTAGCACCTATTGGGTTGATCAAATAAACCTTATAATAAGTTGTTTACTGTGATGAAAAATTGCGTCCAGACACGAATTTCACAAAAATGTCAAAATTGCTTATTTTGGCCATATTGGGTTTCTCAAATAAGCGATTCAATTGTTGTAGGTGATTGTGCTAGGGCTGCACAACACACCACCATTCACCATGGTGCAGTTGTGCTATTTCAAGATATGCCCGTTGGTCGTACAAAATTAAACCAACTCTATTCTCTACCCTAATTTATGTCCATGCTCACACGAAAGTTATACTGTCTGAATTTAATTTCACTAATCTGAATTACATGTTGAACTTTCTATTACCATTCTGAATTACAATAACTTACTAATCTGAATTAAAAGTTATAATTTCCGAATTACAATTGAAAAAGGTGATCATACCCTGTGAAACAATTTGTTTGGTTTCATCCAGTTTCTTGCTAGTCCTCTGGCGAATCGTTTGGGTATTCTGACCTTGACATGGTTATTTCCTAATAGAAATTTATATATTAAATACGTAAAGTAGGCCCGAATTACCACCCTTGGCGTCAGCCGAGGACCATTAAACACTGAAGAAGTATGGCAGTTAAATTGTAAATGACACTGTCGTTTGATTCTGTTTTATGTTGCTTTGGTCACCCAATGATTTATTGAATTTTTGTGAAGTAGCGTAAAACGGGCATTAATGAAACTGACGGGATTGTAATATGGCAATTATGGCGTATTTGTAATTTTTTATGGCCCTAGAATTACGTGCTGGCAAATACCAATTTCAGTATGGCCAGATAGGAATCATCAGAGAATTGTAGATAACAGTTCATAGTTCCCAGCTATAGAATTTGTTTGGTAAAAAAAAACAAAAAAATTAAGTAGTGTTGTCAAAAAAAATATCTGAAATTCCGCAAAAATTTCATTTTTCTGCAAAATACTCAAAAGTCGCCCATTTTTGTTCCAAAATTAGCTCATTTTCTACTGACACAATAAAATGATACATATTATGTACGTTGCCAGGCAACACTTTTAGTGTCTAGGAGCTAAAGTTGAAGTTCAACCCCTAGGAACTAAAAGTGTTTTTTTTAACTACATAATGTGAGTATAAAATAAAATGTTTCTTATCGTTTTTTCCATCATTTTGTCTATTTTTATATTTGCCTCCATAGTTTGGATCAATTTTTTTATTATATCAGAAAAATGTTCCATATTATGAAGAATGGTAAAGTGTGTATTTTACGAAGCCCTGGAAGGGACACATAAAATAAAAAAAATAAAACTCTTCTAAATTCTGAGTTATCTCTGAATTTGAAAATTCCGACATATCTCGGAATTTTACATTCAAAATTCCGAGTTATAACTCAAAATTTTAAAATTCTGAGTTATAACTCGGAATTTCACATCCAATGTTCCGAGTTATAACACAGAATTTTAAAATTCCGAGATATAAGTCGGAATTTTGAAATTTGGAGCAATAAGTCGGAACTTTGATGTGAAATTCCGAGTTATAACTCAGAATTTTAAAATTCTGAGATATAAGTCGGAACTTTGATGTGAAATTCCCAGTTATTAGTCGGAATTTTACATCCAAAATTCCGAGTTATAACTCGGAATTTTGAATTTCCGAGCAATAAGTAACTTTGAAGTAAAAAAAGTTATAACATGGAATTTCAGAATTCTGAGTTATAACTCGGAATTTTGGATGTAAAATTCCTAGATATGTCGGAATTTTAAAATTCCGAGTTAGAACTCAGAACTTTGGAGTTGATTTTTTTTTAATTTATGTGTCCCTTCCAGGCCTTCCTATTCGTAGTATTTAGATCTATGGAA